AGAGGGAGGGAGGGTAGCAAAGAAGAGGAGGAGGGAGAAAACGGTATGCGAGAGCGATGAGGCGGGGGGCTGAAGATCGAGTTGCAGGTTGAGGAGGAGGAGGACAAACATTCAGTAGACAAGAGCGGGAGGAGGTCGACTAGAGAGTTGCAGAAGAGACAAGTCACTGCTCTCAAACTCCTACTCTTCCTCGTCAACAACAACCAGCACCGCATCTCCTCCTTGTGGCCCTGGATCTTTCACGGGCTCTCTCCTTCGATCGAAAATGGTTTGTGTTGATGTTTCTACTGGCGATGATGGTGATGGTGAAGTGGGTTATGTTTTTGTTGACGATGATGATTGGCATCGTAATGATTGCCTTCATTGGTGTGCACAAAGACATGTACTTGAACATTGACATGATGATATGAACAGTTTCGACTCCCAAGGAGCTAGTAGACATGATGGTAGTCGGCCTGCTGCAGATTGGGAACAACGCGATCTCAACGGTGAAATTAGAGGAGAGGAGAGGAGAGGAGAGGAGGGGAGGGGAGGGGAGAGGAGGAGGGGAGGGGAGGGGAGGGGAGGGGAGGGGAGGGGAGGGGAGAGGAGAGCAATGGGGAGAGGATGGGCAATCGATCACGATGACAAAAATGGTGATTGCGATTTGACTTGTTGGCCGTGGCAGAAGCCGCAAGTGATTGGAGATGTTGTTGGAATCCTTTGGCTCATGAACAACTTGACCGAGGAACTATGTGAGTGCCCTGACGCCTTGAATGCTCTCCTCCTCAATCCTCTCCGTTCAACTTTCCACCTCCAGTCCTCCTTGCCCTCCTCCTCCCCTTCCTCCCACCATCCCCTCCCGCTGCTGCGCTCTTTGTTCCTTTTTCCTCTTTTCCTTCATTTGACCACTGGGATTTCCATCAGTTTCCAGCTTGGCAGACGAGAGCATGCCGCATCTCTTCACCATCGTTCAGGTGACCCGGATACGAGGAGCAAGCACTCGACTGACGCGCGCGAGCAGAGGAACCTGTCTGCTGTCAGGGCCGGCAAGCTCTGCGATGCGGTTGTATCGGTGCTCGAGGTCTGCCGCTGCTCTCCCTCTATCCTTTCTCATCTCCTCCCAGCGCATGTGCCGATACCCGTCGACCTCCACCCTCGCGCTGGAGGCGCTGGCGATGATAGTCCTCGACGAGTCCATGATGGCGACGGCGAACTTTACTAGGATAGTCAAGGTTATCACCAGCTCTTCCCCTCCTACTTGCTGCTTGTCCATTTCCGCCCCTGTTGCTTTCTGTTCCTGTCTTGCTCATGTTTGCTGTAGGCTTGTGGTGTGTTTGCTGTCTTCATCGCAAACGACGACTTGTCACGCAAGGTGAGGAATATGAGCCGAAGCATCGGCTTTCTCCTCCTCCTCCTCCTCCTCCTCCGTCACATCCTTCTCTTCCTCTGCCCTTTCAGCTTCCTGGTTCGTTACGTGCCAGCTCTTACTAGACATGTCAGTCCGTCGATCTCATCTTCGCGAGCTATCTCAGAGTTCTCTCCCTCGAGAAGCGTCGAGCATGCGGTGATCGCTGACCGCCGGCATCTCATCTCCTCATCTCCCCACAGGCTTCAAGGAGGACCTCTTCCTCCTCCCCGAAGGCAACTCAACCTCTCAGTCAACGCACGCGCTCTGGATGCATGTAGTGGAGACGATGCACAAAGTTTGCCTGGTCAGGCTTTCCTTCCCTCCTCCTCCTCCTCCTCCTCCTCCTCCTCCTCCTCCTCCTCCCCTCCCCTCTCTTCCTTCCTACTTCCTTCCTTGCCTCATCTCCTGCTTCTCTTCTGCATTCGGAATGTGTTGAGCTTGCCTGACAAGACGGACAGGAGTCGCGGTCCTTGAGAGACAGGAGGGACTACGGGCTCCTCACCTACGAGAGGTGCGACGAGAGTCTTGCGCCGGTTGCTGACCATGTTGCAGAATCGTTCTCTCGTCGTTTCTTGAGGAAGTCAAGGATCAGCAATGGGTGCGTTTCTTCGAGCAGGTACGCGTTTCCTCCTCACTCCTTCTCCTGTCCCAACGTTCTTCTCGTCTCTCCTCCTATCTCAACGTCTGGGACAGGTTCTCGTCAAGCTCGTGGCAGAGATGCTGGACGAGGTAACATAGCAGCTGCTTTCTGTCCTCCCTGTCTGGTCTCACCGGGCAGCAGGTGGAGGACAAGCCCTGCCCTAACTTAGAGAAGAACATCTTTCGAGCATGGAGCCTTTCTTGCCTCGTCCTGCAAACTCACTACAGGAGGATCTCAGATGCTGGATACTTTATGCAGGTTCCTCCTTCTCCTCCCCCTCCCCTCTACTCCCCCTCCTCCTCTCCCCCTTCTGCAGCTTCTTTCAGTGTGCTTTCTTGCCCTTGATTCTGCCGTCTCGATCTCCTGCATCAGCTCTGACTCTTTGGCAGGTATGGGAGCTGCTCAAGGTCTCCACGGAAAGCTACTTCAAGCGCAACAGCAACCCCATCACCACTGACTGCGCACCTCACCATCTCAGCGCTCTCCTCGAGACGCTGGAAGGGGACGAGGAGTTCCATGGCAAGAACTTGGAGTTGATCGACGAGCTGTGGTCAGGTAAGGGGAGGACAGAGGATGGAGCGAAAGAGGATGACGATGAAGCAGAGACTGAACGTATTTGTCCGTCTATCCATCATCACCACAAGCAGATCAAACGGGTTCGCTCTTTCGTGCCTGATTTGCACAGCTTACAGGAAACTCTCCATAACGTGACTGGCCACTAGCACTTGATGTAAATAAATCCATAACCTCCTGTCCCAGACAAAAATAAACTTTGACTATCACGTTCCATTGTCGTCCATGGAAAATCTCTTTAGAGAAAGCGCAGTCAGTGCGGATTAGTAGGTTTATTTTCAGACATGAGCGGAGGGGCGCAAGTCGCACAATCCGAACACAAGGGTAGCGTTAGTAAGAGATGTCTAGGAGACGGCGACTTCCTTGCGGTAGGCGCTTTGGTTCGACCCTGCTGCCATGGAGAGAGCTGCCAACTGAGCTTCCAGCGATGCGACTTTCTTCTTGAGATACTCATTCTCTGACCGGCAACAAGAAAGTTCGAACTCCAGTGACTCCACATGGGCTTGCTTCCTTTGTCTGGATCTCTCCGCAGAGAGACGGTTCTTCAGCAGCCGCTTGCGAAGCTTTTCATCTACTTTGCTCAGGTCGTAAGCCCTACCCTGTGTCGACGGCACTGGGAGCTCTTCGAAGCCTTCAACCTTCGTGTTGGCAACCATGTCAGTGAACACTGGGGATGAGGAAGGAAGAGTCCCAAGGTCGATCGCGCTCACATCCAGAGCTTCAATCACAGCCAAGCTCTCATCTGATCCAGGAGAATTCCCGTGCCCTCCAGTAGGCATCAGCTGGACCGCGTTCTCCCACTGTGCCGATGCCGATGTGGATCTGGCTTCAACTTCGAACTCAGACCATGCAGTCTCAAACTCCATGGGAATGTTCTCGGTGATGAGGTCACCGTTGACACGGCAATCACGGTAGTCGTCTTCAGGGCTCGCGCACGCACTCGATTCAACCTTCACCACTGGTGAACTCCTAGACTTTGATTTCGCGCTAGTGCTCGTCTTGAGAGAGCTGTCGTCCTTTCGCCTCCTTGCTGTTCCTGGCGCTGGAGGGCGCATGACTAGGTGGACCGTTGGTGTTTCGTCATGGAGCCCACAGTTGACGATGAGTTTTGAGTCCAATAGTTCCTTGCCTTGAAAGATCATGCGCTGGCGCGTAACCTCCCATTGGGAATCTTGTTCTGCAACTCTATGTTTCACGTCAAGGACGGTGGTAGTCTGGTCAGCGTTGATGATGAAAAAGCGATCTTTCAGAGTCTTGACGTGGATCTGCAGTCCTTTTGCAGTTCGCACTACCACGAACATCTGTGCGCCGGATTCAACTTCACTCTCGGCCAAGGTGCTTGCATCATCAAGCTCCTTCCCAGCATAAATAATCTGAAGGAAAACATGTCAGCAACAGAAAATAAGAACAGTTGTTGAAACAGAAACACCGAGGATAGTGGGTTTCGCATTGCTTCTCACGAAAGATTCTATGTCAGTTCCCTCTCACAATGCAGGGACCGTTGATCGTGCCAAGCACATAAATCGAGAATACAAAGTGTACACATAAATCAATGGCAACATGATGACATAAACACTCCAATGGCGCTCCCAATCAACGTATTGCAAATCAACGCAGGACGGGCTGGATGGCGCCATAACAACAAGGATCCATTTCACTCACCCGCTGCTTCTCTACTGGTATGGATTCCTTCTCCGCCACGATCTTCTTCAAAGCGGACACTGTCGAAGAAGAGGGGACGGAAACTGCGACTGTCGCGCCATTCACGAGCTTCAACTGCAGGGACACATTCCTGCCCATGTTGCCGCCGCGGCAAAACCAGACCGAGTGAAATCTGCGGGGTGGGGTACTATATTTGAAAATGGGTGGGGTGGAACATGTCAGCAGGGTGGGTAGATGCTGGTCAAACAAGAGCGAAAGTTCCAATTTAGCTGGTGGGGGTGGTAAGCTAGGAGGCATAGAAATCAATACAGGGTGGGGTTCAAATGTCTAAGGGTGGGTGCTGTAGCAGAACTTTTTTGGTAGGGTAGGGTGTACCTAGGAGTAGGAAGAATTGGTATAGATATAGACCTTGATCACCAATAAACACTGATTCTATGGGTAGGGGTATATTGAGAAGGGGTAGGGGGTCTGGTTCCATGGGTAGCGGTCACGCTCTTGGTCAAACCGAATCAATCCATCCAATTAAAGGATGGGTGCTTGGAGATGAATATATTTGTGGGGGTGGGGTACAGGTCAACGTGGGTAGGGGTAGTTTGCAGGGGGTGAGAGAGCCTGTGGAAGGTTCCACCCCTTTAGTCGGACAGTCTCCACCCTCACATTAGATTAGGACTTTTGCTCCCACCCCCTTTTCCCCTAGGTCATGGCAAGAAGATTGATCTAAAAGGACCGGTCCTGGGTGGACTGTGTGAATTACTACCCCATACACACCCTGTTGTGATACCACCCCCTGAGGGTATCGAATTGAAATTTTGAATGAGTACCCACCCTGCAGGCCTTCGCTTTGTGCACCCACCATAGGAGACAGATGATTGTATCAGGGAATTTACACCGGTAGCTGGATACAAATGTACCACCCCCCTTATCCACTCCTTTCACCAGGATCCGCCCTTAGAGAGGGGTTCATCCGTCCGAATGCGACGATGACGATGACAACCCTCCACCCGACATCCAAAGCCGAAGGGCTTCAATTTTTAGTAATCTAGGTGGGTATGTGCCCTGTTGACCACAGAAAGTCCAGAATCTTTGGTACAGACAAAATAAATTCGTGATACCGCATGTCGGTAGAAAAGAAGATTGATGGTACAAAAGAATGCTACCACCACAAAATTATTTGCGACATGCTGGTACATTATATATCAGATGTATAGCTTTTTGTTGCTATTTTTAGTGCTTGTAGGCTTGCAGAATTTGAGTCTTTGCTGGCTCAACCACCCCTAGTATGTTGGGGTACACCACCACCACGTTGGAAGTTGATCCTCTCCCCTCTCGAATACGGGTCCCATGTCCCACTGGTAAGGACCCTACCACCGCATTGCCGGGAACTGGAATAAAACTACTTTTGTATTGATGATGTACCAAAGAGGAAGCATTTAAAAGGTTTTTGCACGAGTTTGTAATACTCACTTTTACGGATCTGGCGGGAAAGGGGGTGTGATGAGGATCGACGGACAGCGCGGGAATCGGATGTCCTCGAAGAGGGGGTGGGTGGTTGCAGGGATTGAGATCAGCTGAATGTAAAAACAGGGGGTGATAGAAGGGTGAATGGGGGGTGGTATAGGTGGTCAGCCATCTGACTGCGAACTGGGCCCGGGCGTCACCCTCGTGGCCCAAAAAGGAAGGAGGCGGCCTGGCACGGTGAGCGGTCGGAGCGGCGGGCGAGTCCGACTCCCGTGACTCAGGCTGCTGGACTCCGCCGAGGCTCCGCGCCGGGGCCGCCGTCGGCGGCGCCGGGCGCGGCGCCGCATCTCACTGTGGTTAGTGACTTCAGCACTTGGCTAGCCGCCTGCGGTCACCGCACTGCACAGCGGCACTGTCCGGGGCGGCGGCGGCGGGCGGCCGCCCGGCCCGGGCCGGGTCCGGGTCACGGGTGGGCCGGGCCCGGGGCCCAGGGGCCCGGCCCGCCGGGACTCGACAGTCACGGTCGGCCACCGGCGGCGGCCGGGCACGGTGGCACCGGCGTGCCCGTCCGATCGCGGCCGAGTCGGGTGACTACTAATAAGTCAGTACCGTAGTCGTGACCGGGACGTGACTTGGCGGCCCGGGCCATCGGACTCGGCCCTCCCTCCGAGTCGCCGGAGTCACCCGTGACCGTACCGCGCCACGCCGGTGAACGGCGCCGTCCGGGACTCCGGAGTGGGCCCGGGCCCGGCCCGGGGCGGCCCCCCGGACCGACCGACCGTCTCCGACGAGTCGGTGCCGGGCGCCACAACTAGCAGGCTGCTTCACGGAACGGTCGGGGTGAGGCAGCTACCGTTCGGTGCCCAATGGCTGTCGACGCCTGAGCCTCAGACTGCTTGCCGGTAAGGGAGGAGAGACGAGGATCATCGCGGCAGCGTGACTACTGGCCCGCTGAGGGAATGCTTGATGAGGCTTAGTAGAGTCAGATCGAGGTCAGTTAGATGCCTCAGTACAAGCCTACGCTGTCATGCGCCCAGGCTCCGACTGATGCTGTCACTTCAATGGAGTAGCGGGTTCTTGCCGGGCTCGTCGGAAGTGAAATCGATCGAAAGTTGATGATGAAGTCAGAGAGCGTTCACTGACTTGAGCTGATGCTCCAGGCACGCTGGCGGCTCAAACCGTATGGCATGAGGGCACTTGAACTGCAACCGAGTGCTGTTGGTGACTGCGACAGCAAGCTCTGGTTGACTCAGAAGCAGGTTCCGCCCTCAGAGATCAGTGTGATTGCCTCAAGTCAGGCATAGTGCAGGCCCCTCAACCTTGATAGCTCCCCCGCAATGGCTCAGCCTCACGCGAGCAAGCGCGCGCTCGTGTCAGCAGATGTGGCGCTGCAGGTCAAGGCAGAGGAAACCAAGGACGAGCTGGTGCGAAGAGACCTCCTCAACATCAACGACAACGTGCCGGTGTTGAAGCGAAGGGCCGAGTACGTCACAGACAAGTACGGCGATATCCTGGAGCAGCATGCTGGTATGAAACTGTTTCCGCATGCCTCTGGTGCTGACAAGTTGATGTGTGATATACAGATCCTGCCAACAAACTGTACATCAGCATGTTTGAGGGGCACCTCGATGCCGTCTCATGCATGTGGGTGGCAGAGGTTGATGGGGAAGAGGTTCTGATCACAGGCTCCTACGACGCCATTGTTCGTATGTTCTCTACCGCTACAAAGAGATGCATCCGAATGATGGAAGGGCACCATGATTTGATTTCGGCTGTTTGCACCCATGTCGTCGAGGCTGCGAAATCTTTCAGGAAGTGCAGCGGAGTTGCGATCGTCTCGAAGAATTGTGTGTGGAACGAGCGTCTCGAGTTTCAAACGGAAGGGCGGGACACGCTCATTACAGTCACTCTGTGGGTTCAAAGTAAGCGTGTCAGCCGTTACAGTTCTTGATCGAGTGAGATCCAGGTACGAGCAATCCGTAGTGGACGGCCACGAAGATGAGATAGGTGCGGTCTACCTGCCATTTGCGGACTTGTTCGAGATCAAAGCGAATTAGTGAGTTGAAGGAGATTCGAGCCCTCTATGCATACTGAATTTGTTCTTCCTCCACAGCGACCTCGTCGTAACCAAGACCTTCACCATGATGAAAGATGGATCGCATGTCTGCAATCTCTCGGTATTCCCTGCTTCCCTTGTCTGTTACCTTGTGACGACAAGGCTGCAAGCTCGAGATCACGTGGCACCATACGTCCAAGAGGCTTGAGTTCTTCCTCATCAACGCAACAAGCCTCAAACAGAAACGAAACTCTAAGTTGCACGTTGCCATCGATTTGCACATCATCCCTCGTCTCCGCCTTTTCTCAGGTCAATCTGCTGGCCCACTGTCTGCTGCATGCTATGACGCGCTCAACCCTCCTCCAGCCTCTCATGACTACCGGGCGATCATGTGGAATATTGAGACGGGGACAGCGATCACCGTGTACAAGGGACATCGGGACTCAGTGACGAGCATGAAGATTTTGGACGCGCATGGAACGCAGCAGCTCTTCACAGCATCGCTAGACGCTGTGAGCCTCGCCTCCGTGTCAACAATCTCCTGCTAACTATAGCAGACGGTTCGAATCTGGGACGTCATCTCAGCAGATTGCTTCAGAGTCCTGTCTTTCGATTCAGGTGTGTGCGGGGATGAGGCATGTCGGGGTTGATTTCTCACTCCCTTGTCTTGTTGTGCCAGGAGTGAACTCGATGGACTTCATTCTTCAAACGAGCATGTCCTTCGACGACTCGAAGCTGGCAGCAGAAAAGCACTCCGATGATCCCGAGCACTACCAGGGCACTCGCACCCAGATCTTCTTGCGCGTCAAGTATGAGAAGATCGCCACTCGAGATGTGTCTCGTCTACAGGTTGAGATCGAGCGAGCCAAGAACCTGCCTGTACGATCAACCAGCTTGTTGGCCCAACATTCTTCAGACTGATGTTGCATCAGGACCCTACCAAGCCCAACAAGAGCAAGACTTACTTCTGCAGGCTGTTGTTTCAAACCGACAAGTTTCAAACGGCATCTGTCTCGAGAGAAAGGCCCGTTTGGGAAGCCTCCTATACTTTAGACCTGAAACGATTGCTGGGCGACGAGCACGTAATTGTGTTGCTCTATGAGTGGTGAAGACCTCTCCATACCTTCAATTTGCCATGATAGGTTTGTCTACAGGGACGACAAGGCTGGGGAATCACTGCTGGGGAAAGTTTCTTTCTCTGTGGATGTCATGATGAAAGCAAAGGCGGTCTGCTGGCCTGCTCGCTGCCAGCTGCAGCTGACAGTTAGATGGCAGGTTGAAGGTTACTTCGTCGTCAACACCATGGCCGTGACCAAGAACTTTCTCGCCGCCGGCTGTTCAAACGGAGCCATCAAGATCATAGACCTGCAGCTGGGCGAGGCAGCCCAGCAGCTGCTGGGGCATTCAGGATGTGTCACGAGCGTCAACGTCTTTACAGGTCTGAAAGTGCCCGTCCTCTTCACGACCTCCATGGATGGGACCATGAAGATCTGGAGAGGAAAGGTGGAGGATGACGTCGACCTCTCTGAGCCCTTGAAGTCGTGGGATCATCAGATACCAGTCAACTCATGCTGGTAGAGGTTGCTGGCTGACCGAAGCCTCGTCTGACTTTCCGCAGTGCATGCAAGTATCAGGGAAAGATCCTGGTGTTCCGCGGCTGTCAGAATGGAAATGTCTACATGAACAGCATTCCCTTGCACAGCATGTCAGTTGCAATATCAGGCTGGTAATAGCTCGCGTTTGACACATCCGTTGCGCTTGACCTCCTCACAGGAAGGTAGCGCTGGCAAGGCTCCTGGACTCGGTCAGCTTCTCCGTGACCATGCTTCTCCTCATCCTCGGAGACCTTGCGGTTGGCCTGAGCTTGAGCCCTGACATCAACCCCGACCCCTCGCTCAACGACTGCCTGGGTCGCGACTCTCCCATTGCTGGCATCATCACCCTGTTTGTTCTCTCTGCCTTTGTCTTCGAGTTCTTGGGGCAGACCGTCATCAAAAGAGAGTGGATGTTCGTTCCCGTCGAGGTGTGGACCTACTTCGACATCCTCGTCGTCGTCGTCAGCGTTGGAGTTGCTCTGTACAAGTTCCAGTTCGACTACAGCCTGTCAGCCACAGACCCAACCACTGACACCTTCGTTCCCCCCATCGTCTCCTCGCCCAACGCGACCATCTGCGAGCAGAGCATCGGGAAGAATACGGGAGTGAAGAACACGCAGAAGGCCATTACAGGTGCCTGAGCTTGAACTCTGCTGCTGCTGCTGCTGCTGCTGCTGCTGCTGCTGCTGCTGCTGCTGCTGCTGCTGCTTCTCACGCCCCTGATGCCGCCAGCGTTCCGATCGGCTCGTATGGTCGGCAGGATAGCAACGGGAATTCGAATCGTACGCGCCATCGTTCGGGGAGCTCAGATAGCTCGACGTCTCGGATCGGAGCAAGGCAAAGTGTACAGAGGTGAGGCAGAAGGGCGTGCATGCGCGTGTTGATCCGATAGATCAAGGTTGACAGTGTGCAACTTGTCTAGGCCACAAGCATCTCGTTACGAGTGTGATCGTTGTACCTCCTTGCGAAAAGAGGGAGCAGGATACGGCCGAGAAGGACTCGAGGTGAACGTTCGAGGTTGAGAGCCTAGAAGTCTCACCTGGCAAGAGCAGGCTGTGGTTTCAGAGGAAGTGGAGACTTTTCTCAGTGAGTTGCGCTTCAAGCAATCTGGTTCTTGTTGACTTGTAGCAGGCGTCAGGGGATCGGACAGTGATCATGTGGGACATCGTCGGAAGAGACATCGAAGAGATGCAGTAAGGAGGCTTCTTTCCTGCCGTTCTTTGCTTCCTTCCTTGCTTCCCGCTTGCTGTCTTCATTCTGCCGGCTCCATCTTGCTGATCTCTGGGCAGGCCACCCAAGACGCTGGTGGCAACTGTGAATGAAGCAGCAGGCGCTGATGTCGAGCTTGCACTCTAACTTTGATGCAATACAAGAAGAGTTAGGAAACGGAATGAGAGCTCTAATGATCGGATGTTGATGTCTGCTAAACGAGGGTTCGAGGCACTTGTTACCGCGAATAAGATCTGGGGATCCCAACGAGTGGAGTTCATGAGGGAAGTAGAGGAGATGAGCGGGTGAGGGAGGGAGAAGCCAACAAGGAAGAGAAGTCCGAGCTAGGGCGAGGCAAGGACACCAAGTAATCCCCAAAGAATTCTATCAACTTCTACCCATAATGAAAAAATCTACTTAAGCGGAACGAACTTGGAAGAGGCCGTGGCACCGATACCAGGCCTTCCGTGCTTGACGGGCTTGTAAGTAATGGAATACTCAGCCAAATAAGTTCCAACCATCTCAGCCTGGCTCGCTTGTCACTACACCAGCACGGAAAGGGGGAGAAGAGAAACAAATGTAGGAAGCGAGGGAGCGAGGGAGGGAGAGATGTGCTCGATCAACACACCTTGATCTCAACGGAGACGTAGGACTTTCCGTTGTAGACACCGACAACTGATCCAATCATCTCGGGCAAGATCACCATGTTGCGGAGGTGAGTCTTGACGACATCGGGTTTCTCGTGCATGGGCGCCTCCTTCTTGGCCTTCCTCAGCTTCTTGAGGAGAACAGAGTACTTCTTGGGAAGACCCCTCTTGAAACGTCTCCTAATTCTGTTGGATGTCACTAGTCAGAACGTGGCGTCGGCTGCAATTTTCAAGGACCTAGCAGGGAAGAGCTGGATCAAGTCAGCCTGGTTGAGGTCGAGCAAAGCTTCGAGCTCGATACCGCGGTATCTGCAAGATAACATCACAAAATATCCTCATGCACAGGAGCATCGGATACGGGAACGGGAGAACGATGTTTGTGGACCACAAGTGAAAACATTTGAAAAACTTTGACTAGCAATATCGGTCGCACACCAGATAGGACAGAACAAGAAATATCAATCATGCGACAAATGTTGTCTGATAATCAGGAGCAACATACAAAACTGTTGCAACATTTGCTGCCGAGGCCCATGCATTCATCGAGCACATGGACCATAAATCATGAAGAAATGAAGAAAGAGGAAGTAATTGGTGACAGACTGAGATCGGATCATTTCAGCAACATGCAGCCATCCCGTAGCACTCTCAAGGCCATATCAAGAAAGGTCAGGAAGCAACATCTGTCAAAGATTTGGACGACGCTCATGAAATGACATGTCCTGGATTGCGGCGAGCAGCGAATAATGTAGAGGAAGGGAAGAGAAGACAGTAGGGGGGGAGGGAGGGAGGGGTCGCTCACTGGAACTTGCGGAAGGAGCGCTTCTTCGGGGCGTTAGCGTCCGCCATGATTGCCTTGCACGCGACCGCACGCTCGCAGGAAAAAAAAAAGAGCTTGCTGGACCGTTACGATTCCAACGTCCGTAACGTACACTCTGAATTCTTAAGGTGCGAGTAACCGCCGGTGGTGCTGCGGCCGGGCAACCCCCCGGCCCCGGCTCGGCTCCGGTAGGCTAAAAAGAGTTCATGTGGCGCATGCTGTCTTCCGTTATTAGTAGTATTTATTCTGAGGCCGGCATGAATTGATTATTGTCCGCAGGAATTACAATTCACCCCACCCTCGTCAGGGTTGTCGATTGAACACCTTGAGTACCACTACCCCTTTATTGGCTTCTTCAGTTGCACTATACCGAAGCATATACCAATGAAGCTCATTTCTATATGTAATCCACTATGTTAAAATGTTGGTATGCATATATGGGCCAAGGACAGGAAGTAGCATTTGTACCCCCACCCATGTTGGGGCTACCGCGGGTGGTAGACCCTTGTATACCCTCCTCGCCGCTGCCATGCTCGCAACCGCCTTGCGCCGGTAATCGCAACCTCAGAGAAGGAAGGAAGCAGAGGAGAGGAGTGTGCAAGATATAAAAGATGTTTGTGTTATGAAGATCAAGTGCATCAGTGGAATGAGAACCGGAACGGAAGGGGAAGCAGAAAGGCATGTCAACAATTAGGAATTATTGGACAACATTTCGAGTCAGCGAGCAAACCATCCCAGCGGGTTGAAGGAGAATGATCGTTTGTGAGAATAGAGTAGTGAAACTGAATCGATATACTGTCATGCAGAACCCCCAGTATTGAATGCACGTAGGTTTGTCTCATTCATATTTACTTGATACTCATCCTTTGGGATGAACCAACGTACTTTGTTTCGTGGTGTCTACTACACTGTAATTGTGTGCAGGACATCTCATGATTATGTCACGGAGATAACTTGGGGCTTTCTGGATGATATCTTGCCTTGGAATACTGACGCGCGTCTCTCTCTCAGCGGTGCTCGAAGCTTCTCCGCCATGGGGAGGCGTGGCAAGACGTTTTCAAACAAGGTGATCATGATTCTGGATACTTCTTAGCATGCTAATGTAGATGTCAGCGCTCTATGGGTGACTGGCTGAAGAAGGACCCCAGACTTGAGGCATGGAACGACGTCCGTGACAATATTGACGATGTACATGATGCCGTGCAAGAATGGAGGAAACTCGACTGATGGCTGCGGTAGATGGTCGACCTCTCAGACTTCAGGACATTTGCAAGCGTGTTCATCTACGCCATCTGCGTTCCAACTGCACTTTACTACGTGACAACCGACTTTGTTGTTCGAGGCCGATCGTGACGCTTCGCACCTCAGGCTATTAGCTCGGAAGGGATAGTTCCAAACGGCGATAGCTCGACAGGTGAATATTTGAGTCCTTTGAGGATCTTCCCTCACTCGCTGTGGTCATTTTCTCCTGCTGCTCTCGTGATGTGGTGATGGCAGGACTGCGGGTTGCACAGCATTTGCGGCTCCCAGTCGACAAGGAGTGAAGATCAGTTATGCTGTAGCATCTTTACGTGTATCATGATCGGCCATATCTCCCTTGCTTCACTGCATTACTTTCGCACTCTGTGCATTATGAAAGAACCGAGCTAACAATAAAGAAACAATGAAGTCTCGAGGCTTGACTCAGTCAAAATCTTCTGACCTCAGAGCATGCCTTTGGTTCACAACACCGCCTTTCTGATCCGATGCGAAACGCTGGCCTTGATAGTCCAGGAGCTCTAAAACCTCCTGCATCAACATAGGAAAACGGTGAAGCTGTGACCCATCGATCGCTCCCTCTTGCACAACTCTGGAAACTCTATCATGGCCTAGTGATCGTGTCAGCTCTGCAACTTCTTCCGAAGTTAAATTCGCTATCAGTGTGCAGTTGTCCTCCATCACCGTCTCTGCTACTAGGACGAGAGAGAGAAACACGATCATCGCAAATGCATAAAACAAATTCATTTCTGTGGATCGCAACAGCTCAAGAACCCCCTTGAAATGTGATTGAACCTTGGTTCTTGTGCCCAATCATGCAGTCTGATCGATCTGTGCGGTCCTGGCTAAGTTATCTCCTAATCTTCAGTGCGAGTCAAGTTGTTGTTATCCGCGCTTCAGTCTTGTTTCCCTTCCTTTCCTTGTTTTTTTTCTTGGCAATTTGGATGCTGCCAGTGGAGACGAGGGAAATGAAAGACAGCGCGGGCCATCCCCTCCCTCCTCTCTGCGGGAGGGGTCAAGGAAGGGGTCCCAAAAAGGGCCCTGCTAGGGGTAGAATTGGGTGGAATCCTGCGACTACAACTACAAGTTCACCCCCCGCAACCCCCCCCCCCCCCGCCCCCTCTCCTCCTCCTCCTACTGATCCTACCATAGATCGAGATCCTGCATCACTCGCACCACAGCTGTTCAAGGTTGAGACCTCTAGAGTGTCGGCCATAGTAGTTTTAAGAACGACGATGTCTTGGGAATTAGCTACAGCTCCATGCAAGAAATGCATCTAGATCAACTCAGTCGTCTTGCTTGACAGTGACGGTGATATGCTGAGGCCAGGCACGAGAAATTGCAAGTGGGAAAAGAGTTTTTCGATGAATGAAGCATATCAACTCCGAGTTTCTCCTCCCGATGTGTCTCATCGACTCTGATCGAGATACCCGGAAGATCGACTGCCTTCCCTGCTGCAACTCACGACGATGCTGGCCAGAAAGATCAGGAAGATCGAGGTGGCTCAGGATCGTTCCTGATGCGAAATGAAGAAGGTTACTTGATTCCGAGCCTTGATTGGAATGGGCATGACAGTATTACACTCCACCCGATGACCTGCCATGCGCACGGGCATCGACGAGATTGTGAGCTCACATCGGTTCCAGGATGAGAGCACGACAAAGATGTTCATGTCAGTGTTGCAAGTGCGGTCTGACATTGTGCATGAGAGCTTGAGGCTGCTGTTCACCTTGTTCCATGCAGGAAAACCTCGTGGTTGGTGCAATCTTGTAGGAGGGGCCCAATGTTTGCTCTAGTAATCCATGAAAGCAAGTCATGTTGACATGTGGAGGTGATAGCATCAGAGACTTGGGTGCCATGCTCTGTGTGTAAATGATGTCAAAGATTGTCTTTCGAAGTGAAGAGAGAACATTCAGTCACGGTCACTTGAGCATGTGCATGATGGAAACAGGGTGTTAGATGAGGATTCATTTTATTCTCAACAGAAACGCTAGAATACAAGTGGCATGTATCTTCGGAAAACTGCCATTACAACATCCAGATGAGAGGAAACAATAAACTAAACGATTTGTCAGAGCGCGGGCAAGACCTTTGGGCTCCAAGGCCGATACTGGTGCAGTGGAGCTCAAACCTGATTTTTAGAATACACCAGAAACTGCTGGAGCAAACCCGAGTCGCTCGCAATCAGACCAGGAAAAGGATTGCAGGCGCTTCGAGGCGCCATGGGAACAGACATCGATTGCTCCGTGTATTCGGGGCTTGACTGGAAGGCGGACTGTACGTCAATGGAGAGTAGGAAGGGACCAGCCTGTTTTGTGCGTCGAATCATGAGAGGAGCAGGAGATCTGCAACCTCCTTGCATGTCTCGGCTGTTCCTCCCTTTAGACCCGCCGAATTTGGGCGACGTGATCCTGAGGCGCTCGAGTCTTTCTGAGACGGTCTCATCAATAGATGGTTGAGAGCGATTCCTCTTTTCCTTGAAGGATCCGCTGTTCTGGGTTCCTACAATCTTTTGAAGGTAGCTTGTGTTGTTCCCAATCTGTGAGGGACTGTCGCATCGAGTAGCTACCATCTTGGCCACGTGGAGGTCTGTGATCGGTTTGTGAGGTTGAGATATGGAATTCTGCTGAAGAAAGACGTTTCGTTGGAGGGAGAGTAGGAGAGGAGAGGAGAGGAGAGGATCGCGAGGGAGGCAGATACTGTGCTAGGACGGGTGTGTGCGAGGGGTGGCACAGGGGACACTGGAGTGAAGCAAAGGAGAACCATCCAAAGAGCGATTGGGATAGGAAGAGGTCCTGGTGCAATTGTCAGATCGGTTTGGATAATTATGATTGGTCGTTTACAAAACGCATCGTATCGATAAAAGCGGTTAAACGGGATGAGGTGGATTAGTGGATGTGAGATCCTGGCAGACAAGGGGGCGGGCAATCGATGGAATTAATCAGGTAGGGTGGTGAAAGTACCCCTAATTTCATCATACTTTCGGGTGGTAAATGATAGGTGGGGTATTTGATAAGATATCCTCACCATTTTTCAGTTATTCATCGGTTGAGATAAGAGTCTGCTTTACACACTTCGAGATTTTCAACGACGTGCGAGAGATTTGAAATCAGTTAGAGAGAAAGCTCTGAGGTTTTAGAGCGATCGATCTCAAAAGTCTCTTGTTCGCACTCCTTTACTGCCATGGAGCTAACGACTAGGTAGGCACAGTCACAGGTTTTTTTCGACATGCATGCGGTAACGTGACAGGGTGAGTTACTTGCCTCAGTTAGGCATCATGGTAGCCTACTAGGCAGTGACACGCGGCATCACCCCCGTAGTATCCTCGTTGGTAGAGGAATCCAGTACCCAACTCTGGGCTGCTGAGCGCAGGCTGCCGCCCGGCCCACTGGCAGGCGAGTCATGGGCCCCGTGACCGCTCCGATCATTGCTCAGCGCTAGTAAGTTGCCAGTACTAAAGTGTCACAGTACTACGAGTACCGACGGCCCGCTGAGTACCGGCTGGCTTATGTCAGCGGGGGCAACGTAGCCTGAGTCGGCTCCGCTTCCGTAAGATTTCAAGTTTGAGTCAAATCGACGAGTCACGGAGCCTTTGCCCCCTCTAATATAAAGTTTAATGTCATGCCTCAGCGGATCGGACCGACCGAGCGACCATCGGACGGTGACGGTGACCGTGATGTGACTCACGCCGGGCGGCGCCGGGCCCCGGGGGTACGGCCACCGGGTGACTCCCGGCCGCCCTCACACTTCAGGCTTGTGGCCTTTACTTGTGGCAGTGCCGCCCGGCGATCCAACCGTTGGCAACTTGGCCAACTTAGAGTCTGCTCAGCCGTTCCGAACCGAGTCCTCGTACTGATTTCAAGTTTAGCTTAGCCGGGTTTGAGTAAAAAGTGTCAGTCAGTGATGAAGAGAGGGTCGGATCATCAGGCTGAGTCTCAGAGTCTCATCCGATAAGTTGAGCAGCGACCGGGGGTTGTTGAAAGGATTTCATAGTTGATGGCGACGAAACGAGACTACTAAGTAGTGACGGTGCCGTCCAACATGGCGGCAGGTCTCGAATGATTCAGCTGGGCCGCCACCACGGCGATGTCAGTTGCGATCCGGTGTGCCTCATGCAAGAGACGGCATCATCCAACTCCTCGTTCCTGCGCCATCCTGTCACCCAACCTCGTCACTGCAACAGAGCTTGCAGCTCTCACAGGGGGATCGACGTCGGCAGCGAGTCCAAGGCATCGTACAGCAACTTCTGCTGGAAAGGTCACGCAAGGCCAGCCGCTGTAAACCTCTTCTGGTCACCTGCGACCTTGGGTCCAGCCACTGGTGCTCGTTCTTACTAGCCGCCGAATGCTTGAAGGAGCTCAGTGTGAGTGATCGCGCGCCGAGCATACCTTGGAGAGGTAGAGGAAACATTGGCGCATGGCAAGCTGATGCTCGTCGAAGTTGAAAGGGAGCAGCTCCTTGCTGCGCGTCAGGGGAGGAGGAGGATTTGCAACGGGTATGACCTGTAGCGAGTTGGACAACTGGCTCATCAGGTCTTCGCCCTTGCTCATGTTGCTCATGAACTTTCCCTGTCAGAGAACACAGAGATCTTGAGGTTTGGGATGATCCAGGAGAGAGAGAGGTGGAAGAAGGGAGGGAAGGAGGAAGGTGGAGGGAGGAGGAGGAGGAAGAGAGAGAGAGGTTAGGAGGAGAGATAGGTGGAGGTGGAGGTGGAGGTGGAGGTGGAGGTGGTGGAGGAAAAGAAATGCCTTACGTGGAAGATGACTGTATGAAACGATTGTCCTGATTCAACCCAGCGTTGGGCCTGAGAATTGACATGGAGGTTGAGATAAGGAAAAAAAGAGGAGGAGGAAGAGGAGGGGGAGAAAGAGAAGAAGGTGGAGAAGGAGGAAAAGGAGGAGGAGAAAGAGGAGGAGAAGGAGGAGGAGAAGGAGGAGGAGAGGGCAACGAAGAAAGAACCGAAGAGGGAGAGGGAGACGAGTGCAAGCAGGACAAACAAAAAGAGGACAAGGTCGGAGAAGATTTGATCTCTATTTCTCGCTATGAGAAATCACCTGGCTCCATGTCCGAGGAAAACCTACAAGGAGAAATCGGACGAGAGGGATTCGTTTGGTCCCATGCGGTAAGTTGACGTATTTCTGCGCGTGTTTGTTCTGTCCAATGAAAGCTCACACAGAGAGGAGAGGCGAGCGAAAGACAGTTTCTCACCTTGACGAGCTCGAGAGACAAGATCTTCTCAACTTTTGCTTTGAGCAAGTCAACAACCTGGTCTTGGAAGCAAGCTGAGCCATCGGTGTCCTTGACACCCTGCACCACCAAGTGTGGGACAGGTCTGAGAGGGACGGCTGCAAGCAGAGAAGCCTTACAGCTGAGAAGAGAAGATTACTCATGTTGATGTCAATCACGTCAGGGTTCCTCCCCCTAACTTGTCTCTCCACCTGCTCCACGCTCCTGCCAAGGAAGCATCAAGGTGGCTGCTGCCCCTCACGAGCAGCCGACATCTCGTCGTCGTGGACCAGGCAGATAAAACTAGAGGCAATGGCCTCGGTCCCTGTTGGCAAACTCACGAGGACACAACCTCCAACTCGGGCCGCCCACCCATGAAAAGAACATTGAGACGGCTGATCGTCAAGTTTGATTGTTCTTCTCAGCGTCACTTTCATAGCTTCATCATCTTTCTCTGGTTATCACCTTTCTGTCCCAGCAGCGAGGCAACAGAGTTCCAGCCCTGCAGCGATGACCTCAAAGATCAGCGTCAGCATGTCAAGAGCTTGCAAAGTCACCATGTCTGCCACGAGATTGTCTGCAAGATTGAAACTTCTCGACGTATCTGGTGCAACAATGGTTGCGTTCACAAACGAACAATTCAAGTGTTCTATCACTACTTGGTGTTACTTCGACATCGTCTTGTGCACACCTGGTCAAGGGCTCAGCGCATGCGATCAGCAGACTCGGATCACTTGATGTATCTGTGCGATGTTGTTCTCTTCCTTTCCTCCAGCTCCTGCGAGCAGGTTGAGCGAGTCGCCCACAAGCTCTGATGGCAGAAAACACCTCGGCGTCAGTCGGCAAACAACCTTTTGCCAATCTCAAGCTCGATCGCCCTGACATCAACCAGCGATCAATCAGCAACGACAACACCAGCTGCTCTCCGCTCACTGTAGGGAGCGATTCCACATCTCTCTCTCACTTGATCGCGATCGATCCTTGAAGGCAGACTTCTGCGCACACATCACGAGCGCTCATGGCTGACTCTTGCTGTCATACCGAAAGCTCAACTGGGGTCGATCGGTAACAGCCGGAGGGTCGGAGATGGTCGTAGGGTTGTCGCTGGATGTTGCAAGGGAGACTGACTGGAGCTGAAACGAGATCACACGGTCACGCATGACGGAAAGGAGGAGGTAGGAAGTAGGAATAAAGGAAGGGGGATAGGAAGGAAGAGAGGAGAGAGGAGAGAGGAGTTCCTTCACCGATACGGATTGTTGCTTCATGACGGAAAGTTCCCTCCTGGTAAATATTATCCTCCTGTGTAGCTGATTTTAGCAGAACGTGTCACCTTAACTCCATGATCTCATTTCTCATCCTCTCGATTTCTTGTCTCGACACGGCCTCACAATCGTGTCTCTCCGAGCACGTTGCCCCCTCGGCACTCTCCGTGATGTTTGATGTTGTTGCCGTCGTCATCATCGTTGCCCCTGGTGCTGTGGTGATTTCTACGGTGTTTGTGCGGATTTCTGTTTCATCTACAACTTTGAACAAAATCTCATCGACAACTTCCTGTCGAGCATCCAACTCACCTCGCTGCACCTCGATCTTTCTCTGCTCCACATTGCTTCTTGCAGCCATTAGGTACTGCTTGATGGCAAGGAATCTCTCCGACGCCTCCTTCACCCTAGCGCTGTGCGGCTTGTCTCCTGCAATGTCCAACGACCAGGATGACCCCCTGCAGGGTGAGACTCGTAAGCGAGTGCCTGGCAACTGAATTTGAGAGCCAAGGCAAGGACGAGGAAGAGCCCAAGGACCAGGACCAGGACAGGGACGAGAAAAAGGACGAGTAAGAGCATGAGGACGAGGACGAGGACGAGGAAGCGGATGAGGACGAGAAAAATGAACAAGTCCAAAAGGAAACAAGGGGAGGACAAGGAGAGGTGGAGACCAGGACGAGGACGAAGACGAGGAGTGAAATGAGGACGAGAATGCCGATCTAAGGGAGGAAAAAGAGAAGAGGAGGGTGGGGAGGACCTCTCTGAAACTCGTCTTGCTCCTTCTACCTCCTTCTGAGTCACCAAAAACCTTCAGAATGACGGGCAAGAAGGATACACACACAAAGTCACCGCAGACCCTCCTGATATCCTCTTGTCTTCCTCCCGAGGGGCCCTAGAGGGTGTGAGATCCTTCAAATATGTTCGCAACGTGCTCCCTCACCCGAAGATCAGCGAAGGTCGTGGTGTCATGTCCATGATCTCCTTCCACATCCTCTCCAGGTGCAGCTGAGCAAGCATCAGTCAGTGCAGGGCGAGAAGAGAGGACGTCGGGCTTCTATCGCTTCATCCACAAAGTGGCAGCATGAAACAAGTGAGAGAAATGCGGGGCCTTCTTTCTTAAATCATTGTCATCGTCGTCGTCGTCATCATCATCATCATCATCATCATCATCAACAACAACAACAACAACAACAACAACAACAACAACATCATCATCATCATCATCACCACCACCATCATCTCCATCATCATCATCATCATCATCATCATCATCTCCATCATCTCCATCACTACCATCACCATCACCATCATCTCCATCATCATCATCATCATCATCATCATCATCATCTCCATCATCTCCATCATCTCCATCA